AAGAAAACAAGAACAACACATAGAACAATGTGTAAAAAAACTCCTAGCAAACAAAACTTACGTCGAAGTCGTGCTGATAGCAGGGCTTGTGCGCTTGTTTCAAAATCTCTGCACGAACTCTTCTGTCCCATGGATTTATTGCACTGGTGATCTCCTCACTAAAGCACAAATATTGAGAAACCCAAACAGCTTAAGATATCTGGACCGCATACTCTGCAAGGCCAAAACCGGTACGGTCGTGATCACCCTCGTCATCGTCTGGCTCTTTCTCCATCTGCTTCGAATCGCCCAAGTTCATCTTGTCAAGCGCCAATTCCATTGAGCGTTCGGCAGCTTGCACCGTTCTTGGTTTTGGTGGAGCAGGAACTTTTGTAACGGTAGCCATTGGATTGGCAGCAGGAGCCACCGAACGACGCCGCTGAAAAATGAGCCTTCGCAAGAGGATATTCAAAGAGTTGCTATGCAATATGTATAAAAATTGTAACTGATGCGCGTAAAACATTATCAAGAAGAGTCAGGACACTTTGATGACTAACTAATGGAAAGACAATCAAGTCATGATATCACACACCATAAACGCAGACTGCGCGTAAATCTCCTCTTCATTTTGTTCTTCCTTCATTTGTTCCTCCAGTACATGGTTGAGAGGAGCGAAGAAGTCTGGAACATATTGCTATACAGCAAAACATTCTATGCGAATTGTAACTGCGAACCGACAAGATGACTAGAAGAAACACCTCTAGCCTATAATTCTCTACAAAGTATCCCGTTATACTAATAACATGTACACGTAAAGACTTCTTTTCATTCTTGTTTTACTGAGAGCAATAATGCATATACACATCCTTAAACTGAGAATTGCATTAAACTAAGATATTATACTTTTCTTGAGACAAAGACTGATCGATTCGCTATTCCTATCAAAAAATCAGTGTAGATGGAATCTTGTGATGGTGCATTGCTCCAATGAATCCTCGTTTTTTCTGACTCAAGAAAATGCATAATCTCGGTCTATGTCAGAGCACGTCCAAAAACACAGTTTTGCACTGTCAACCATAATGCAGTAGATGCATTCCTTTTTACAATAGGATAAAGCAACAAGATCGCTTATAGAAACCGTTGTGGGGTAATAGTTACGAGTAGTAGAGAAGTAAAGATAGCCTACGCACCTTCATGAGTAGGAGGATGAGGAAGAGGATGCGCTGGTGTAGATGTTACGATACCACGTTCTGGCTTCTTGTCAACACCCAAAACAGAGAATTTCGCACCGGCCACCGTTTCCTCGTCTTCTGCAATAAGATTTCTTAAAGACACGAGTAAGTGGAATTGGATAGGAATGCGAGAAATCATAAGAAGTAAAAACAGACCAATAATTAACTGTCTTGGCTTTCCAAATTCATTCACATCAAATCCACGAATCTCATTTTCGAGCTTTTCTAATTGTCCCTGAATAAAGCTTGTTTGCGATTTCATAAGTCCTCAGTTGCAGATGAATTTGCTGCCTACCCTAGCATCTCCTGCTGCAGGTTGGAGCGGTAAAGAATGAAGAGGAAGGCGCTCCGCATTCTGGGTGAAACCGCTTTGTCGCTGTTCATTTGCAACACTAGAAAATTATTCGTTGAAATGACTTATAAAAAGGTTTAGAGAACATACTTTTCAGACTGCTCCTTCTCTGTCACGCGGAGAGTAGCGTCCTCATCAACGTATACTTCAAATGCCTCAACAGGTGGAGGCTGCACTGGTAGGGTTGTCTCATTTGTGATGCCAGGTAAGTTACCTGTGAACCCTTTGATTTGAAAAGAATCATTAGCGTATATCTAGATCACCTTTGTTAAGAACAACAGTGTCGGAGAACATGGCTTTCATGTCACTATATGCCTTCTCAGTAAATGATGATCCGCTGATAAATGGGGATTTGGTTGATGACTGAGTCGTAGGCACA